CTTGTGGATGGAATGGGGCGATTTTATTAATACCCTAAGAATATATAGAGCAGGCTAACTGAGCACTGTAGTTTTGCTCTCCAAATTCAAGGAGGAAAATGTGAAGTTGTTGCCCCTAATCCCACTTTTCTCTAACACACACAGAAAACTTTCATTATACTCTCAATAAGACAAGATACAGCGGCATAGAGGGACTTGTCTCCTGAAATTACCCACATCCTGACCCATCTCTACTGTCCCTCTCTTTAAGATCCTGTACAGATTCTAAATTCTTCAACATGTTACAAAAGCTTTCCAAACAGAGGTGTGGAAAGTTATCTCATGAGACTGTGTGTGGGTTAAATTCAAATAATTTGATAGGGAGTACTGTCCATCCATTCCCTGAAACTATTTGTCCTATTCAGAGTCATGGGGGGGGGGGGGGGGGGGTCCAGAGCCCATTGGTGCAAGGCAGGAAACAACCCAGGACGGGGTGCCAACCCATCACAGGGCACACTGTCATACCATTCACACCTATGGGCTATTTGGGAATCCAGAGTACCTGCAGGAAACCCCATGATGACACAGGGAGAATATGCAAACTCCACACACATGGTGGAGACTCGAACCCTGGCCCCAGTGGCATGAGGCAACGATGCTAACCACTGCACCCCCATACCACCCCCTACAAACCACTGCTAGTTGCTAATTTCAGAATCAGCTACTTAGAAAACTGTAACCAAGAACTCCCTGAATCATATATATATAACCATGATGTCCCATTGTTTTTAAGTACTTTAAATTATACCCGAAGGACCTGAACAAATGAATGAAACAGACATACTAATGCAATCACAATTTACAATCAGGGGTTCGACTACTCAAGTACATTACCTCTCTTGGGTTTGTTTTAATATAGCTGGCAATATTAAGCCTTCAACCCATTTTAATTCAGTCTTTCACAATAACAATGAATATAGCAAAAACACTAGGAATCAAAAGGATTTTGTCCAGCGATTCCTAATCTCTTATTTCCTTAATAAAATTATCTTCATGGAGAGAGAATGTCAGGAGAAAGGATTTTGTACACATGTTTTACAACAATCAGTTTGATACATGACCTTTATCTAAGGATGGCTGAAGCTAGAGAGATTGACACCTTCCTCCACAGCACAACCTCCTTCAACCCACTGCACAGCCTTAGTGTTCTCAGATAAATATGTCTGCACAGTCCTCTTTCATCCTGCTTGCATCTTCACATCACAAGAGTGCATCCGAGTCTTTACTTCAGCCAGCAGGAACTAATGCACAGCCTGAATCAAGGAAAATGTATCGAATGCACATTCCTGAATGTGCACTGGGACACATCCTGCCTCATATAGGCATACATATTCAGAAATGTGTTGAAATAATCACTTTTTAAGTGATGGGAAAATTGACTCGTCTTATCGTGACATAATTTTAAACATGGAATCGGAATACAACAAATAATATACATTTTAAAAGATGCACACTCAGAAGTGCTTAACACAGCACACACTAGGCAAGGTCGTTTACGTTACCAGATAAAGTGCTGCGAATGACAGGAGACACATGAAAACATCGCAAGCCTTTTTTTTCATCTCCACTAAAGCAAACACCTGTTTTGAGGTGGTACTATGAGATCTGCTTGCATTCTAAGTCTATGCCTGGTGCTACTCTTGCAGAATGGCTTTCAAACAGGCCCATTTTAACAATGCAGAAATGCACAAGCTCCCTGCTTCCTCTCTGTCTCTCTTCACCTTCCCTTTTAAGCACCTTCGCAGTCATTTGATTTCCTTGGAAATGGGTCGGCAGTTGAGTGTTCACAAAATTCCACACACAATCACTCTAGATCATCTCAGTCGGGGCTGCAGCTCAGACGAGCATTAAGGAAAGTCTTGAGGATATCTGAGATATTAGCTTACGTCATTTGCTCGATGATTGCATATCATGTTATAGATGCATTGAATTTATTCGACATTGGTGACAATAAAACAATGTCCAGCTCTTTACAGGTTCGTTTTTCAATCAAGTATTGTAATTCATTCCCCCTTGGAGATATATATATACATATGAGATATATATATACATATGTATACACACATACATAAGATATAGATATTAAGATATAGATTTAGATATAGATACAGAAAGTGAGAGACAGCTGTCCGTTTTATACATGTTTGTTCAAATCTCTGGATCTGCTCTGTTTTGTACTGTAGCAAGCTTTTAAAACATAATTCACTACGCACATTATATAAAAATAGCAAAAATTCTAATATCATACATCTGAATCAGCTGTTAATTACAAATAAGTGATATCAAGAAGACTTTGTTCCTGTTTTCACAGTGAGAAGGTTATTTATAATGATGAACAACAGACGTGTGAGCATTAATTTGTCTGAAGTGTTTACCTACAAAGCAAAACACTTGAAAGATGTAATTGTATAGGTGTTATGCATAATTGACTCATCCTTCATCCCCGGCATGAGTAAAACCTGCAGCAATCTCAGTATCCTGTGAAAGGGCTTACAGTACTAACAGCCAAATGTTAAGAGAGGAGGCCCACACACTGTACTGCTCCAGTAAATGCACTTCAATGGTTATATTTTGATCCTGCAGTGGTCCATTGTTAGGCCCTGGACTGGTAAGACAGCACAGTGCATATGAAGGGATTCGTCAGTGCTGAACGCTTATACAAGCCCGAGCAGGAGTGGTGTCTCCTAACATCCGAGCTTTACGGTAATCTGGTGACCAGCCTTGTTTATGCTTCAGCATCTTCCAGCCTTTTTTCTGCACTATCCCATCTGCCACCACCACCCCCCCCACCCCCCCGCACGGGGATGCGGAGAGCATTAAGAAGCCACATGACTACCTCATAAAAGCAGGCAAGTGGAAAATAGCTAGAGCTTGTCATAGTGGTGGTGCAGTCATAGAAGGAAAAATGAGCCTCAGCTTCTGCTTCCTGAGTGTACTGTGTGTGCCTATTTATATGCGTGTGATGGTGTGAGACTGCGTGTGTTCTCCTCTAACCATGTGTGTGCATGTGTGCATGTTCGGGTGACCCGATCGGGCAATACTCACAGAAGAGGGAACACACATGTTTCTCTGAAATGTATCTTAAAAGGTAACACTGCAGTGACAAAACTCTCTCTTTTTTTTTCCTGGGGCACATCGATGACGAGGACACATTCTGAATTTGTCTCCATGGAGAAATCTCATTCTGTTTGCGATTGAGAATGGGCTGAAAATAGGCTGGAACACCAGCGTTGCAAAGCAGCAGCATCTGTGAGGAGAGTGAGGGGTTGCATGTTGCTCCTAATTGCACATGTCTCAGCATCTCCCGAAGAGGAAGAGAGCATAAGAGCTAGGTGGGCTTTCTTCAGACGACGGTAACTCCTGCTAATGTCGCTGCCCCTGCCTCTAGCACGAGAGGCCTGAAGCTTTCATCTGCTCATCGGCGCTGTGAACCCGGCCACTTAAATGCAGCGGCCGGCTCCCAGAGCTGCACCTCTGCTGTGCAGAGACAAGTGTCAAGTTTCCAGTTATTGACTGATCAAATATTTGCTGGATAAGCCGTTAGTGAATCTGCCCCTTGTCATCACTGCATCAGTGGGCCACAGATTTTTCTTGTCTCCTAAAATAATACCATTTGATTCCTTTCACGCTGTCCAAGTTACAACAGCAGCACAGCAGCCTTTAGTGTCACGCAGTGACTGCAAGAGTCAGAAACAGAGTCCTCTAACTTTAATCGTGGGTGCAGTATTATAAAAGCGCATTCTGTTGGCTTAGTTTTGCAACACGGTGCAGATCGGATCAATGTGGAAGCTGCACCCTGGCAAAAGGAAGTCTGTTTCTTTGCAATGCATGCTGTTGCCAGAGTTATTTTTTCTTAGAACTTCCATAGCGCTCCTTCATGTCAGAGGGAGACATGCTGGCTTCCCACCTGGAGCAAATCATTATTCACACTGTCTGTGCGCAAGCAAGACTGAAATACATGTAAACAGATTATTAGTCTCCCCTAAGGGACGGAAAGGTTAAAAGGCTTATCGAATTGTGTATTGCCAGCTCTCGTAAACTGTTGTGTAGCTTTGAAGCTTCCTACTGTGCTTTAATAGGTCAATTATAACTGTCAGTTATGACTCACTGGGGGCAGCTGTGCCGCTTTTGATAACTATTTGCCTGGTTCTGCAACTATTTCTTGCACAAGCCTACAATTTGACTCACAAACCCCAGTGAGGCAACATGGCCCGAGTCATGTTTTATTAGACACATCCTCCAAACACTGATTAGTCAATGTTATTGATGGTCAGCAAAGAATGATTACAGAAGCCGTAACTGAGGTGCAAGTAGTACTCTCATAGGAGGCATGTAAAACAGCAAGTCGTCTCACAATCAACCGCTCGTCAATAATTGCACAGCCTTCTTCCATAAATGTGATTCCTCTGCACTGTCTGCTACTTGGGTGTGGCTAAGTAAAGCCTCTGCTGCTCTATAGAGGCAGGTCTTTCAGTTCACACTGATGGATGGCAGGCATCAGCAGACAACTTAACAGATCTCACACCCTGATTAGCTTGAGATTATGCCACCAGAAATCAGCGCGGCAGCCAGAAATGAATTTCAGGGAGGTCTAGCAAATTTCAAGGTTTTACTAACGTGCGTGATCCAAAGCAAACTAATTTCAAGAGGGTTCAAACCTGTCACCTTACTACATGGCTATGTACCAGGGTGGTATGTGAGGGAAGGGGGCCCAGAGTTTTTTTAGGACTGATAAATGAATTTTGAAAATTCCTAAGAGGCATATGCAGGCTTATCTGAGGTGTGGACTGGATGAGGAAAACAGGAAGTGACTGAATCAAGGGAAATTTATCGAATGCACATCCCTGAATGTGCACTAGGACACTCTGTGAGGTGCTGGTTGGATAACGAAAACAGGAAGCGGTTATGGTACCTCTGTGAGGTGTGGGTTGGATGAGGAAAACAGGAAGCGGTTATGGTACCTCTGTGAGGTGTGGGTTGGGGTTGAATCCACACTGGTTGCACACTAGGGACCGGCACTGCGTGCAGTTGTTGCAGTTAGGTGGGTCAGTGGATGCTGTGAGGTCCGTGGTGTTACACACGGGGCACAGCTTGCTTCTCGGCATCGGCGCAATCTGTGGCACGGAGTATGGAGAGGAGGGGGCGCTGCCCCGGTCTGGAGACACAGATGGAGAGCGGCCAGAGCGGCCGGCACCGCTGACATCCACCTGGAGGCTGCGCCTGGAGGCATGCGTGCCGGCACCTGGCTTCTGGCCCGGCCCTTGGGCCTGGCCCTGTGCGGGGGTCTGCTGCCGGGGACTCTCGTGGGTGGCCAAGCGGTAGGGCTCCGCTCGAGCTCCACCCCCTGCTCTGCTGTCACCATAGCCAGGTTGGGTCCCCAGCCTCGATCCAGGCAACTGGTCGGTCTGGTTTTGTCTCCCACCCGGCCTTCAAAACACAGAAGGAAAAGAATCTGTTATCTGGCCCTGCCCAGCTTGGCTCAACAACATCAGGAACGCTGCTTTGCAGTCAGTCTCTACTGATGTGCAGGAACCAATGCGGCCACTAATCACAGCAGGATTTTAGCAAGACTGAAGTAACATAGAGTACATTATGTCTATGTGTACTTTAAAATAAAATTTATTTCATTTAATTTTTAAATAAAATTATGAAGGTAGCACTTTTGAATGCTTGCCAAACGTAAAGAAATCCTGCAGTCATCATTTTCTGTGTTTACTCAGTTAAACATTAGTCACTCATTTCATAATACATTACAATCAAATTAATTAAAATATGGGAGCACTGGAGTATGGATAAGATTATTGCATCAAAGAAATGTGGCTTTGATTCTTATATACCTAAAAACAAAGTACATTTAAACACAAATAATTGCAAACATCATTTTTATTGTTTTTAATGTTGTTACCTTGATTAATTGTGTGGCATCAAAAATATTATTTTCTGACTAAAAAGGTTTGCATCCAGCTAGGGTCTCTATATAATAAATTACCCTTCGAGCACTCATACACACACACACACACACACACACACACACGCACAATCATCTCACGGAGGTTAATGTGATTAAATATTTCACTGCAGTGAGTCATTTTTCATGTTAAAGAGTGAGCGAAGAATTATACAAAAAGCTGAACATTGTTTTTTAGCACGCTGCTTGATGTTTGTAGTTACTGTCCTTAAGAAACAATGTTCAGAGCAGCCTAGTAAAGGACCCTGTCACCATGTCCCTAACAGCAATAATTAATAATAATAATAATTGATACTTTATTGATCCCCGTGGGGAAATTGTTTTTACGCCTCCCTCAACTTGCTCTTTGTATAATAGCAAATTATAGCAGCACTAAGTTAGCATACATAAGGTAACATCATGATATTTTGCACCAAAAGCTATGATCAGTGGCTGAGTTTACTATTTATAACATAAATGTCCCATAAATGTCAGCCTGTAATCTCACAATGAGGTTCCAGTTAGCTGCACGTAGAACAGCCTGCATGGGGCTTCCATTCTCCCCAACCCAGCACTTCGTTTTCCACCCTGCACAGACCCAAGGCTAGCCGGCCCGCATCCCTGCGGCAGTCAGGCAATCGGCAGGCCAGGCTCACGGCCATCGCACGTAAACCAGGCAGTCCATCCCACACCCACTGCAAGCTGCAAGTGGGACATAGCACCAGTGGGCGATGGCGCACTGAGAATCTGATGCAGCTAGGAGAGCGGTTGGGCGTTGCCTGAGACACACTGTGCTGTGTGCTGCTGACAGAGTGTGTGACCGAAGACACTGGGAATGGTTAAGCATTAATGGTGGAATATATAAGTCTGGCTGGGATTGCTGGACATTCCGGGGTTCTGCTGACATTCCCATACATTTATCAAAATTAGCTATTTTAGACCATCCTAAATCAGACAGTAGTAATACGGTTTCAATTCTGATAAGCTTTTTAAAAATTTTAAATGATATTTAAATTTACTGTGCTAAACATTAAAAAAAAAATAAAAAATTTAAGGCACATAGGAAGTTGTATGCATCAAGATGGGCCTTTTCGTGTATTTTTTCAGTCAGTATTATAATCAACCAGTGTAACATAATCTACACACACAACAGAATTAGCAATTCATCAGCAAACAGCAGAGCACATTCATAACAGGCGTGTTAAAAAACAAAAAGGGATAATATTACGCATTTAATGCATTTTTTTTGGAAACTGTAAATGCAGTTTTGTTTAGTTAAGTATTTCAGTGGACAGACATTAACCGAAGGCCAGGTCCTTTTTATTACTCAAGCGTGCTCTGGGCCACTATCACTTCAAGGCCCACAGACTCAACAAACAGCTCAGCACCGCCCTCCGGGAAAAGTCCACCAATGCAAACAGGGAAAGCCTCTCTGCAGCTACAGCACAGAGCCAGCACCCCGCCTCTGAAGGACGGGCGAGCAGGAAACAGCCCACATTTCCCGCAATAATGGATGTCCACAATGTGAGCCACCCAACAGTCCTTTCAGAGTAATGGATGAGAATCATGCATGAAGATTTCATGGTCTAGTTATCATAACAAAATCCACACTTAATGATTTCATCTTGGTTCTGCCTGCATGTCTTGCATCAGCTGACAAACACTATGTCTGTCATTATTATTATTATTATTATTATTATTATTATTATTATTATTATTATTATTATTGTTGTTGTTTTGCCATATACATCATATTTCAAAATATAGCGGTAGATCTTTACCGTGTTCAGTGTTTTATTAACATGTTTGTTTTTGCATGATGGAAAGCACACAGCAGACATAAATGACAGGTGGCAAACAGACATACGCAGAATCAGTCTTAACCAAGAGATTTCGGTCCAAATCACCAGAACTGAAGCTTATCGCTTTGTCAATATTTATTAAAATATGTTGTTATCATCTTATGACTAATAGATTTTTAGCATTCAGTTCAGCATTCAGCAGATTTGTTTGTTCTTCATACCAGTCGTCAGCACTTCTGCTTTGCTGTACACCTTCGCATTTTGCATATTGTTCAGTGCGTTAATATCGTGGAGTAAAACCATATTTATATCCGGGTAGGTTTATGGTCCTCAGGGTGCACTTACATCCCTAAGCTGCTCGTTATCACTGCCATAGTTCTTCTATGTTTCTCAGGTGATGCGGCCACATTGCTAATTAGTGCCGCGGATACAAATAGCCGGTAACGGAGAACCGGCAGCTACTTAGCTACACTCGCCGCGTCTAAAATAGTCGCGAACGAGAGCGAATTTGCATTCGCAAAGAGCTCAGTCCGTGAAAGTCTTTGCTGTACAAGCTTATCTCTGGGAACAGCTCCAATGAACAAGCCAGAACATGCTTGTGAAAATAAATTTGCCAGGCTCTATGTGTTTCATGCATCTAATGCATCTAAAGGTTCCAATGCAAACATCGTTGCTATGACTGTAACATATGGTAAACTGTGAACTGGGAAAAAAAAAAGTAGGGTCCACACAGTAACCTGCTGTTGATAAAGAATTTTTTAACTTGCTAATGAAAATAAAAGGGCGAACCACCAATACGTTCCCGTTATTTCAAAAACTGAAATTATTATTCTGGGCGGCAAAAAGCATTATTTTGCCAGGTGTTCCATATCACAGTCATTCTCTTCAGACACCTATTGAAATAAAGGCCCATTGATACCTTTGTCTAGAAAAAAAATGCCGGAAAATAAGACTACTTTTAAAAGGCAGGGGCAGCACCAAACACAGGCTTCTGGCCGAATGTCAGAGCTGCCTTCCGGATACAGTCGGCCTCCAGATTCATCCATCATCATGGAATAATTTCAGGTGCTCATACTGACAGGAATTAATGAGTTAAATTGTGGGGAGACCACAAGCAGCGTTATAAGCAGGCAGGTGGACACGCAGCATCTGCTTTGTGACGACACGGTTGAAGCGAAACACACAGTGGGTGCAAAGATATGACCGGGCAGCTCTCTCTGACACCGCGCCCCCCCCGAGCGGAATGCAAGAACCGAACGCAACGGGAACGAACGCAGGAACGACCTGATGATAAACAGAGTCTGCCGTTTGGGCTGCTCTTCCATGAAACGTGAATCACCAGCGCACCCAAAGGGCAAGGCTGGCATCCAACATTATTTTCTCCTTCGCAAATTAAATTTAACCTTCTTCTGCAGCTTTTGTAGACAATTGGCGGAAGAAAATGGGGGCAGAGCTTACAGTTTTGCACATCCATTACAGACACACACATTCACAGCGGAGGTTACAGCAGAAATTATTATTTTTTTACATTTGTACTTATCTAGGTTAAAACAAAAAATTGACTGCCTGCTTTTTTGTGTACAGGTTTGACACCCCCACCAACCAAAAAAAAAAACCTCAATGTGTTAAGTAAGCAGGATTTAACAAGCCTCTTTGATGTATTGCTAGGCCATGCCAGAGACCTTTAAAAAGTGGGACACCTCTGCACAGCGAGGAACAGTGTGAGAGCTCATCAAAGCCCTTTTACTACCCAGTGGGTGTATTATCACAGCTATCCTATAAGAAAGCATGATTTTCGAACGTTTAAAAACGGCCAGGCACACGTGGTCCCGCAGTCAGTTTGCTCAATTCCAATCTGGTTGATGCAATTTGGATGGCAGAATGGGGGGGGAAAAAATGTTCGTCCTCAGCCAGCGAAAGTGCATCCGACCTCCGGAGCGTGGCCAACAGTCCAAATGGCATTAATCCTGCTGCTGCAGGAGTGCACTGTGGGTTATTGTTAGGTGTAGAAAGCAGAGCTCCACCTGTGCTACGAGTCAAAAAGGAGGCCGGCGTTCACGCTGCACGTTGCCCCGACGATAGCGCAGACGTTTCATAACCATCACGTGGGGGGGGGGGTTGTACTTTTAGAAAGCTCTTGAGTGATGGTCGGGGTGCTTCCAAGGGTCATTTAACAGCAGCCTGGGGAATTCTGGTATGCCTGCCTCCTCATTGTCACACTCACTCTCTGCTCATAGGCGAAAGTGAACCGCAGTAATCCCAGCAGGCATGTGCACTCCTACACACGTGAATTAGATATTACTTATATTTGTTTATGCATAATGAGTCAGTCCCAGGATTACAACATTAAGATACTTCTTACGAAAAAAGTGTTCCTGTAACTCAATAGATCTAGCACTAGGCTAACACAGCACCTGGGTTCAAATCCCCAGAAACACACATAAATTGTAGCCCTTATCTCTACAATAGATCTCTTGGGGCAGTGAGTGGCTCAGCGGAATAAGTCTTTATGCCAGCGATTGGGAGATGGTTTGAGCCCAGGGCAGAGCAGAATAGTCACATGTCAGTGTTTCCCTGAGCAAGTCCCTAAACCCCCAGCTCCCGGGGCGCCACACGCTGGCTGATCCTGTGCTGTGACCCCCAAGCATGGAGAGCAAAATGAGGGAGGCAAAGACAAG